AAATTGTAAATATTTCATAAATGAATCGGTTCAGGAATACAATCAAGATTGTAGTCCTATACAATGTATTCCATGGCAAAAAGTTTAAAAAACATGGAAACATATGCATACAAGTTTTTCTGTCCGTAGCTCGACATAAAACACAAGGCTTATGGAGCTAGACGAAGTGATGGCGATGTAGAGTGTTCAACCAAGATCAGTTGGGGCTTAGAAGGTCCAAGGCTAACAAGAAGACCGCAAGACAAAACCAAAAGCGATAGAAGCCCAAACAAAGGTTGTCAACGGCAAAAGTCTTCAACGACCTCGATCACCGACTCCTCTCGCGTCAAGTGAGAGCGACTAGAAGGACACCTCCATGAGCTTAACCGAAGAAGAAACCTCAAACTCCAAAATATGAACGGTGCAAGTTTCTCCTACCAAAATCGTTGGCTAGTACAAAGCTAAATATAACGTTGAAGAACTGCTCCGAATACGAAAGGACTTACTAGCTCCTCTAGCGCATAAGGCAAAACACACGACCTTCCACACTAACCCGCACACAAGTCTAATGCGACAACCTCAAGAGGACAACACACTCAACAACTGGTCATAAACCTACCAATAAAAACCAGAGATACGGCGAAGCAAACCCAAAGGCATGGCCTAGAAGCTACCACCGATAGCAAAACCAAACCTAAAGTTACCACACCGCAAGAACCAAAGGCAAATCAAAGAGATCAACAGATACCTCACAACTCGAGACGCTAGAAGGTCAACACAACTGAGGAGTCATCCGCTGTCCAAAGGGCGAAGCCAAACGATGCGAATCCCAATCATCGAACCTATCGTCAATAGGAGAAAACTTGAAACACGAAGGTTTCTATGTCCTACAACAAATCCAATAGGGTCGGGTCCAAGAGTACGAGGCTCCAACAGCCACAGAGGAAGACGAAAGCCACGACCAAACAATGGTGAAGCCAACACCTCCCCTGCCGGACATCTCTATGAGCCAGAACCTAGAAGACAACAACAATCAACCTGGTGAGGACAGGACCGCAACACCACCGTGGCCAAGACCGTCCCCGAGCGGAGAAGCAGCGAAAGCACCAAGGGCGACTGGGTTACGGCGGATCTTCCAAAAAATTGGAAGGACTCGAAGCCACACCCAGATGGAGAAGAAGCTCGCGGCAAAGGACGTCGCTCCCTAGCCGGTCAAAACTCGCCCCATCGCCGGAGTCGAGAGGGAGGAGGCGGATCTATGGGATAGATCGGTCGGTCGAACTTCGTGAGGATGGTGAAGGGCTTCAGTTGTACCCCGCCGCAGATGCATCACCATGGTCTAGTTAAAGAATCGTGGCGGCGAGACCCTAACACCGTGACGCGGCCGTCACAAACGACCCTCTCCAAACCCCTCACAGTAAGAGACAGGCCAAATCTGAAGAAATCGATGAGATTGAAGTACCGGAGAACAGAGAAACAAGGAGCGGCGGTTGCCCTCTCACGACGACGGCCGTAGCCGAACGCCGGAAAGGCAAGTAGATCGGAGACAGCGGTTGGACTTTGTGCAGGTTTTGGGGAGAAAGATCGCCCGCGCGTCACACGCTCGATCTTCTGGATTTATGATTGCTTGTTCATTATATAGTTTTTTAGTTATACGTTCATTTTTGTTTTGTGAACGATTCTATATATGCTTGGCAAACTCGACAATACGATTACTACCAAAGGGTCTTTGATTATTGAATGTAATATTACAATGTTAACTATTTTCAAGGTTTGACCTCATCACTAGTAATGAGAAACATGTATGCTATGGTTGTTCTCCATGTCAAATTGCATGTGAAGAAGTATTTCTTCACAATATTTGTATTAAAAAAGTCAGAGACCTTCGAGCCTCAAAGAATTCTTGAGTGTGGATCAATTACACGAAAAAGAGAAAAAGACATTGTGTGACCAAACACACATTTTTGTACATATGATAGTTTTTGCAAAGATTTGACTCTTG